CGGTTGTCATTACGCTCAAGGGTTAACGAGTTCTGGGTTCTTAATTAATTGGGGGTTATTAATGAATTAGGATGCTGGGGGGGGTGCGCCCCAATTTCACCCGGGGTGAGCCCCGTCCTCGATCCCGGCTCAACCCGCGGAGATTAGACGGAGGAGGAGGAGGAGGAGGAGGAAGGGGGGGAGTTAATCCCTTCTCGTCCTCGTCTCCCCCCCCCCCTTCCCCCCCTAAATCCCCCCCGGGATCAGGGATCGGGGATCGGGGGGATCCCGGACCCGCTGCACCTGCCTCAGGATCCCGGCGGGAATTCTGGGCGGGAAACAAACCGGTTGGAGGCGGTTCTGAGGCGATTTCACCCCCACTGGAGGGAATTCACCCCGTGTGGAGGGAATTTCGCCTTGTTGTGAGGGAATTCACCTCAATTTTGAGGGAATTCACCCTATTTCGAGGTAATTTCACCCTATTCTGAGGGAATTCACCCCAATTTGAAGGAATTCACCTTATTTTGAGCAGTTTTGAAGGGATTTCACCCCTTTTTGAGGTCATTCACCCCATTTTGAGGGAATTCCCACCAGTTTTGAGGCAATTTCACCTTATTTTGAGGGAATTTCACCCTATTTTGAGGGAATTCACCCTATTTTGAGGGAATTCACCCTATTTTGAGGGAATTCACCCTATTTTGAGGGAATTCACCCTATTTTGAGGGAATTCACCCTATTTTGAGGGAATTCACCCTATTTTGAGGGAATTCACCCTATTTTGAGCAATTTTGAAACAATTTCACGCCTTTTTAAGGCCATTCACCCCATTATGAGGGAATTTCATCCCAATTTGAGGGAACTTCACCCCATTTTGAGGGAATTTCACCCCATTTTGAGCTATTTTTGAGGGGATTTCATCCCTTTTTGAGGCCATTCACCCCAATTTGAGGGAATTTCACCCCATTTGGAGCTATTTTGAGATTTCACCCCTTTTTGAGGGGATTTCACCCCAATTTGAGGGAATTCACCCCAGTTTTGAGGCAATTTCACCCTATGTTGAAGGGATTTCACCCCTTTTTGAGGCCATTCACCCCAATTTGAGGGAATTTTACCCCATTTTGAGCTATTTTGAGGGGATTTCACCCTTTTTGAGGCCATTCACCCCATTTTGAGGCAGTTTCACTCATTCTCAGGTGAGTTGATCTCATTTTGAGGCCATTTCACCCTATTTTTGAGGTGAATTCACCCCCTTTTGAGGCTGTTCACCCTGTTTTGAGGTGATTATGGTGATTTCACCTGATTTGGAGGCAATTTACCCCATTTTGAAATTTCACCCTACTTGAGAGTATTCACTTTATTTTTGAGGTGATTTTATGGTGATTTCACCCGATTTTTGAGGCAATTTACCCCATTTTGAAATTTCACCCTACTTGAGAGTATTCACTTTATTTTGAGGTGATTTTGAAGTGGTTTCACCCCTTTTTGAGGCAATTTACCCCATTATATGGTAGTTTCACCACATTTTGAGGTGATTCACCCCAATTTAAGGTGATTTTACCCATTTTTGAAGCAATTTCACCCTACTTTGAGGCAATTTCACCCTATTTGAGTTGATTTGCCCCATTTTGAGGCAATTTCCAGGTTATTTCCCTTCACTTTGAGGCAATTTCATCCTATTTGCATTGATTCACCCCAGTTTTTCAGGCAGTTTACCCTCTTTTGAGGCAATTTCAGGGTGATTCACCCCATTTTGAGGTTATTTCACCCTACCTTGCAGCAATTCACCTGATTTTGAGGCAATTCACCCAATTTGAGGCAATTTCAGGGTGATTCACCCCATTTTGAGGTTATTTCACTTCATTTTGAGATTATCTCACCCTACCTTGCAGCAATTCACCCAATTTTGAGGCAATTCACCCAATTTGAGGCAATTTCACACCAATTTGAGGCAACTCATCATATTCTGAGGTGATTCCACTCCATTTTCCAATTATTTCACCCCATTTTGAGGAAATTCTGAGATTATTTCATTCTATTTGCAGGCACTTCACCCCTTTTTCTGGGTTATTTCACCCTATTTTGAAGCAATTCACCCCATTTTGAGGCAACTTTTGAGGTGATTTCACCCCATTTTGAGGCAGTTTCATCCTATTTGGAGGCAATTTACCCCTTTTTCTGACTAGTTCACCCCATTTTGAGGCAATCCACCCCACTTTCCAATTATGTCACCCCATTTTGAGGCAAGTTCATCCTATTTGGAGGCAATTCACCCCTTTTTTTCTGATTATTTCACCCCATTTTTGAGGCAATTTCATCCTATTTGGTGGCAATTTACCCCTTTTTCTGATTATTTCACCCCATTTCAAGGCAATCCACCCCACTTTCCAATTACTTCACCCCATTTTGAGGCAATTTTGAGGCGCTTTCACCCCATTTCAAGGCAACTTACCCCTTTTCCTGATCACTTCACCCCCTTTCGAGGCTATTTTGAGGCCACTCCCTCAACGGCAACCACACCCAACGCCCAGAAAACCCCAAAATCCTCCAGATCCCAAACCAACAGCAACTCCCCTGGGAAAAACCACCTCCACGACCCCCCGAATTCCCTCCCCCACAGCCAGGAAAAATCCAAAGCCCGGCCGTGGTTGCTCCATTTTATTAAGACCGACACATTCATCTCATGTCACAACTTCCCCGATGGATGAGCTGGGAAAAAAATAGAATTAAAACCCCCAAAATCCAACAAAACCCCACGGAAACGGCCAGCGCCAGCCAGCAGGATGATGGGATTTAATAAGAACACGTCTGAAAAAGGCATTAAATGTGCCCCCCCCCCTCCCCTTTTCCCTCCCTTCCCCTCCCAAAAAATTTCTCACAGCTTTGATCGTATCCAGAACGATGGTTTTTTAAAAAAAAAAAAACAGAAAACACCCCAAAGCAACCCAAAATTTCCCAGCTGCCGGGTCGTTTTGGTATAAAAAAAACCCCCCTAAAAAGAGCGAGTCGACGGAATAAAAAGGAAACTAAAAAGGCTGGGAAAGGGTTAAAATGGTTAAAAAAAGGGATAAAAGAAAGGTGGAGGCGGCCACGGTGGTGGGAAAAGTGGGATACAGCACAGAAATCCAAGTCTTTTTTGATTTTTTTGCAGGCAACACTGTTTGGAAAGAGAACACTGGGATGGGTGAAAAAAAAAAAAAAAGTGAATTTTGTCCATTATCTACAAGTTTGGAAAAAAAACCCAACCAACCCCAGATCCGGTCTCCTCGGAGGTGAGATCCAACGTGTTTTTTTTGCTCTATTGCTTGTTTATCCCAGGAGAACACTCACGGGGGTGGGGGAAAACAAAACCCACCCACCCCCCCTACATTTGGGATCTGGAAAATCCCCCTTTTATTCCCCCAAATCCAACCGAATCCTCCCCAAAAAAAAACACAACCCCCAAGAGTTTTGGATGAAAACGCCAGCGCTCGTCCCGCGTGGAATGTCATTCCAGGGCCAGGGGGAGAGGGAGACAGCCCCTCAGCCCCATTCCCTGAAAAAAAAGGACACGACCCCCTCGTTTCCAAGAGGAAAACTCCGGATTTGGGATCGTGGGGAGCCTGGAAATCCTCCGGGATGAGGCTCAGTTGTTAAATTTCAAGGGGTACCCGATGGCTTTTTCCAGGCACTCCACCAAGGAGCCGGCGGATAAAAAATCCCTTTCCACTTCCACGAATTTGATGTAGATGGATTTGGGGGAGACTCCCGGCTGGACGAGGCAGTTTTGGGATAAGAAAGCGTTGATCCCCACCCAATCCTTGCTGAAGGTTTTGGAGCTGGCCTGGAAATGCAAAAACAGGCACTGCTGGAGAGTCCGGCCCTCGGCGATCCCGAGGTAGCAGTAGATGATGCGGGTGGATTCCATCTCCACGCGGAGGGAGGCTTGGGGAGAAGGGATCTCCAGCTCCCCGGGGAGCTCCACGTCGAGGTGGGATCCGCTCTGAGCCGAGGGGATCTTCTCCTGGCAATCCTGGTAACCGATGGCGTAGAGCCCGGGGCTTTTGGGGATCCCCCCCGGGAGCAGATATTGCACCAGATTCCCGCCGGTGGGTTTGGAGTGAGCGATGGGGATCCAGTCGATCTCCATGTGGAGCTCCAAGCAGCGAGCCTCGCTGATGGTGATCTCCAGGAACTTGTAGTAAACGTTCTTCCAGTTCATTTTCTGCACCCTGGTCATCACCACCCTGCCCTCGGGCTTCTCGGAGTTGAAGTACTCCCGGAGGCGTTTGCCCAGGGGCACCTGGGAGCTGATCTCGGCGTGGTGGTAGCGGATCTCCTCCTTCCAGCGCGTGTTGTAGCCGATGCCGAAGATGGCCAGCTTGTTGGAGAGGTGGAGCCTGGAGAAGTCCGTCCAGCTCTGGAAAAGTTCCCACTTCAGCTGCACCGACTCCAAGATCCTCACGATGTTCTGCATCACGTCGCGTTTCCTGGGAGAAAAGGGAGGGGGGGAAAAAAAGGAGAAGAAAAACATGGGGAGATGGGTGAAGGCACCTGGAGAAGCTGCTCAACCCAACCCTGTGGAGAAAGTCCATCCTTAATTTTTATTTTTTTGACCTCCTCGGCTGGTTTTTGGGGGTCATTTAGGTCTCTAGGTACTCGGAGACCACCCCCGTTGGTTTTTTTTTTGGTCTTGGTTCATCTCAACATAAACCCAACCCCGAGCTCCTTCCAATACCTCAAGCCAACCACAACCGCTGCTGGACACACGATTTCACACCCAAAGTCCTGCAGGAGAACCTGGTGGAGAAAACAAGGCTTGATAAATCCCTCCAGCTCAGCTTCTCAGATGGATTTTTCTGCTCATCAAACCCCCAAAAAAAAAACCAGAACACCAACAAACCCAACCCAAGGTGGTGGAAACGTCCCGTTCCTACCTGTGGTGGGGTGTCAAGGTCACCTCCCATCTCAAACGTGCATCAAATCCATGAAAAATTGGGGTTTGGGTTACTCCAGGGGTGTGATGTCCCATCCCACCTCACCTGGAGTGTCTCCAGGGATGGTCTCACCACCCTTCAGCACCAACAAACCTCCTCTCTGGTCTCAATCTCCCCTCTCTGAGTTTCAAACCATCACCCCCTTGTCCTGTCCCAACAGGCCCTGCTCAAAAGTCCATCCCTGGCTTTCTGACAGGTCCCCCTTGAAGTCCTGAAGGCCACCAGAAGGTCTCCACGGGGCCTTCTCCTCTCCAGGAGGACGTGTGGAACCTTCAGCCCCTGCCCCAGGTGATGTTGGTCGTCTTACACATGAGCTTCTCCTTCTTCTCGGGGGGTCCTCTCTGTGCTGGAGTGAAACCCAACGGTGAGGGGACACAAAGGTCTTCAACCAAGAGCTTGCTGATGGTCCACAAGGATCAGGTCTCTTCTTCCACCACGTTCAAAGGCAAGGTTTGGGAGCTGCAGAACCTCCTTGAGGTGCTGGAGAGGTCCAGCCTCCAAGGCTCTCCTCTCAACCTGCTCTGGTAGGCAGGTCCAACACACGTGGGTCTTCAGAAGGTTCTCCCAGTGCTGTTGCTCTGGGGGACCTGGTGCCTCCAGAGATGTTGGGTTTGGGACCACAGAGCTCAGCATTGAGCTGGTTGACACACGATGGGTCATGGAACCCTAAAATTGTTCTGGTTGGAAGAGACCTTGAAGGTCATTGAGTCCAAGAGTTGCCCCAGCACTGCCAGGTCCCCACTGCCCCATGTCCCTCAGCACCACATCTCCACGGCTTGGGAACCCCTCCAGGGGTGGGGACTCCACCACTGCCCTGAGCAACCATTTGGAGGAAGATGTTCCTCAGGTCCAACCTCAACCTCCCCTGGGGCAACTTGAGGCTGTTTCCTCTTGTTCCTCGGGAGATGAGCTGGTTGGATCATCACCAAACTCCTGTTCCTTAGCTGCAGTCACTTCTGAGGAACCATTTCCACCTCCCCTCTCTAGCAGCAGAGGGCCACAGGAGAAGACAAACCACCTCCTGACCCCAGATCCATTTCCATCTCCACAGGAACACCACAGCAACACCAAAGGCTCCTCTGAGGCTCCTTCAAACCTTGAGTAGATGTTGGAAACCAACTTTTCTTGCGGGGGTTTTCCCAACTTTTTTCCCCATTTCAGGAGCAGAGTCCCTCCTCCAGAGGCAGGAGAAGACAACGTGGGCAGGTTTCCAGCCAACAGCAGAGGAATGGGGTGAAGAACCCCCCCCAAAAAACCCTAAAAAGCCAAAATTCCACCCAAGCACAGAGCCAACCTCACCCCAGGAGAAGATTTGGGCTGTTGGGAGCTTCCAGCTCGGAAATCTCTGGAGGCTTTCGAGGCCTCCAGAGGGAGAATTGACCCCAAAGGGGCCCAAAAGCCTCTTCAATGGGGCAAAAAGGCCTCTGGCACCCCAAAAATGGGGGGGTTCTTTTCTCCTCCCTTCCCCCCCTTTTTTCCCCATCACTTTTTTGTCCCTCTTTTTTATCCTCCTTTTCCCCCCCCCTTTTTTATCCTATTCCCCTCTTTTTATCCTTTTCCCCCCCCTCTTTTTTTATCCTTTCCCCCTTTTATCCTCCTGGTTTTTCCCCTTTTTTATCCTTTTTCCCCCATTTTTAATCATTTTCCCCCCTTTTTATCCTTGCCCCTCTTTCTTATCCTTTCCCACCCTCTTTTTTATCCTCTCTCCTGTCTTTTTTATCCTTTCCCTCTTTTTATCCTCCTTTTTCCCCTCTTTTTTAGCCTTTCCCACCCTTTATTCCTCTTTTCCCCACTTTTATCCTTTCCCCCCTTTTTTATCCTTTCCCCTTTTATCCTCTTCTCTGTCCCTTTTCCCCTCTTTTTATCCTTTCCTCCTTTTATCCTCTTTTCCCTCTTTTTATCCTTTCTTCCTCCTCTTTTATCCTTTTCCCCCTTTTTATCCTTTTCCCCCTTTTATCCCCCTTTTTTCCCCTCTGTTTTATCCCTTTTCCCCTTTTTATCCTTTCCACTTTTTTATCCTTTTTCTCCCACTCTTTATCCTTTTTCCCCCCTTTTTATCCTCCTTTTTTCATCCTCTTTTTCCCTTTTTATCCTTTTTCATCCTTTTCCCCCCACTCTTTATCCTTTTTTCCCTTTTTTATCCTTTTCCCCCTTATATCCTTTTTTCCCTTTTTCCTCCTTTTATCCTTGCTCCCCCTTTTTATCCTCCTTTTTTCCCCATTTATCCTTTTTTCCCCCTTTTTTATCCTTTTCCCCCTTTTTCCTCCTTTTATCCTTCTTTCCTTTTTTCATCCTTGTTCCCCCTTTTTATCCTCCTTTTTTCCCCACTTCTATTTTTTCCCTTTTTATCCTTCCCCCCTCTTTTTTACCCTCCCTTTCTCCCTCTTTTTCATCCTTTTTTATCTTTCTTACCTTTCTTTTTCCACCATTTTTTCTCCTTTTCCATCTTTTCCCCACCTTTCTTTATTCCACCTCCCTTTTTTATCCTCCCCTTCTCCTTTTTTATCCTCTTTCTCCTTTTTCACCCTCCCCTTCCCCTCCTTCCTCACCCTTCTTTTTTTACCATTTTTCATCATTCTTTTCTCATTTTTTACCATTTTTCCACCCTTTTTTTTTTAAATCATTTCTCACCCAACATTTCTCTGACTAAATCCACCCAAAATCCTACAAAGCACCTCTGGAAAACTATAAAAATTCACAAAATCAAACCCAACCCCAGCTTCTGGCCACCAAGGATGGGAAGTTCTGGCCGCCTTCTCCCATCTAGAGAGGGAAAAAAAAGCAGGAAATGGGAAAAATATCCCAAAAAATTCCACCTAAATCTTCCCCAGAGAGTGAGAATCCTCCTCAAACATTCCCAAATCTCCTCCCAGCCCAGCCCCAGGTCCAAGGAAAAAAGATCCCAAGGGAGAAGATCCACAAAAGACTTACTGAGTGTCTTCTGAGGCCTCCTGCTTGATCTTCAACGTCCGTTTGGTGGGGGGCAGCTCATCTGGGAAATCAAAATTCCAACATTTAATGGGAGCTGAAAGAACAGTCCTGGGATTTTTTGGGGGGGCTGAAATGGGGGGAAAAAAATAATCCAATGAAAATGGCTCCCCAAGGCAGGAAGGAGAGGACTCCAACTCCTCAAGTCTTCCAGAACTTCTCTTCCTTGGAAGCAAGGAAGCTTGAGGAGAGCTGGAGTGAGGATCTGCCAAGGGTTTCCAGGAGAAGACTTTGGATGTCTGCAATTAAATCCTAAATCAATTTAATTGGGGGGGAAAAAAAAAAACTTGATGGAAAAGGAAGAAAAAAAAATCAGGAAAAAAAAAAAAAGAGAGGAAAAAACTCTCCTCACAACTTCTCCAGACTTGAAGGCCACCAGCTTGGCAAGCTGGACCCAAGAAGAGGTTGGGTGTTGATCTCCTGGAGGATCTGCAGAGGGATCTGCCCAGCTTGGATCCATGGGGTGAGGTCAGTGGGAGCTGATCCCCAACCTCTTGACCCCATCCTCTAGATCCTGACCAGCATGGAGAAGATCCCCTCTGAGGCTTCTCCTCTCCAGGCTCAGCAGCCCCAGGGCTCTCAGCCTGTCCTCACCCCAGAGAGGCTACAGTCCCACCCGCATCTTTGAAGTGAGGAGCCTTCAACCAGACCCAAACCTCCATAGGTGACCTCACCAGAAGGGCAGGAGAACCTCAACCTGCTTTCCACACTTCCTCCTGCCCCAAGAGACCTTTGATTGACCTCCTTGGCCACGCTGCTGGCTCATGGACACCTTGGTGTCCACCACCACTCCCAGACCCTTCCCCACAGAGCTGCCCCATGAGCTTTCCCCCCCATCCAGGCGCATGCCTCACACCTTGGAGAACCTCAGGAGGTCCTTCACCCCCTCCAACCCTCCCTGGAGAGCAACCTCAGCCCGAGCTGGGCGAGAGCAGAGCCAGGAGAAGACTCCTTACCCAGGTCCTGCTCGCCGGTCTGGTAGCAGTGAAGCTCCTGGCTGTGGTTGCCCCAGTCCTCCTGGGAATACTCCTCCATGGTGCTCCCATCCGACTCCAGCTCCTGGTAGAGGCCGCTGCTGTTGATGAGGACGGGCTGGCAGGGTTGGGAGTCCCATCCCCCCTGGCCAAAGACCTGCTCGAGCTGCTCGAAGGTGTAGCTGCTCTTCCTCTTGCCCACGCCGTGCTCCTTCACCCGGCTGTAGCACCTACGGAGGGTCTGAGGCAGAAGAAGACAAACCCCCAAAGCCACGTTCATCCAGCGACCACGGGGCAGATGGAACCACCAAGAGACACCCAAACCAGCCCGGAGAAACGGCCACCTCCAACCAGAGAGGGGACAGGAGGACAGGAGAGAGGGTGTCCCCAAAGCAAAGGTGGTCCAACCTTCCTCCTCCAGCGAGGAGACGCCCGGGGCAGGTGGATGTACCTAAGCTACTGAGCTAGGAGAAGGTGGGTCACCTCCAGAGCTTGGGCTCCTGGCTACCTCGCTCTGCCTCTGCTGGAAGCTGCTGAAATTTAGAAGAGGTGAAGTCACCAAAGGTCCCAAATTCCCAGAGGTCCCCAGCAAGCGTTGAGGAACCCGGGTTAAACCCAAACCCTTCCCTGAAGAGGAGGGTGGGGTGGGAGTGGGGGCCTTCTCATGGTGGAGGTCTCCTCCCCAGCTGCTTCAGCATGGAGAGGAGAAGACAACCAGCTCCAGCAACTGGGAAACAAAGACCTGGCCAAGAAACCTGCCCGTGGTCACCCAGCCCAGCCACCTCCTGCCACCACTGCTGGAGGGACAGGACCTCAGATGTGAGGGAGAGAACCTCAGCTTTGAAAGAAACCCAAATTGAAGTGAGAGAACCTCCAACTCTGGAAGATCTTCAACTTTGAGTGGGGGAACCTCCAACTTTGAGTGGGGGAACCTCCAACCTTGAGTGGGAGAACCTCAACTTTGAGTGGGAGAACCTCAACTTTGAGTGGGAGAACCTCAACTTTGAGTGGGATCTCCGTGGGGGAATCTCCAACTTTGAGTGGGGGAACCTCCAACTTTGAGTGGGAGAACCTCCAACCTTGAAAGATCTTCAACTCTGAGTGGGGGAACCTCCAACTTTGAGTGGGGGAACCTCCAACCTTGAAAGATCTTCAACTCTGAGTGGGGGAACCTCCAACTTTGAGTGGGGGAACCTCCAACCTTGGAAGATCTTCAACTCTGAGTGAAGGAACCTCCAACTTTGAGTGAGAGAACCTCAACTTTGAGTGAGAGAACCTCCAACTTTAGCAGATCTTTAATTTTGAGTGGAGGAACCTCCAGCTTCGAGTGAAGGAACCTCCAAACTTTGGAAGATCTTCAATTTTGAGTGGGGAAACCTCCAACTTTGGAAGATCTTCAACTCTGAGTGAGGGAAGCCCAAAAGCTGAAGGGGTGGAAGACCAGAGGTGACCCCAACTCCAGTTCCCAACAGGAGCAGTGGGCAGGGCTAACTGGCGGGACCAAAGCCACCTGGAGAGCACCTCCACCTTGGGCTCCTACCACCTGCCCAGCACCTCCTTCAAACCAAAGGAGGTTTCATCTCCTGCAGCTCCAAACCACCCAACTGTTGAGTTATTGGGCACCCCAAGTCCTGGGTCAAAGGAGGCTTGGAAGGCCACCAGCATGGGGACACCTCAAAAAGATGAGTCTGAGGGACAAGGCACCCCAAAATCCAGGGTCAAAGGATGCTCAGGAGAACCACCACCATGGAGACACCTCAAAAACCTGACCCTGAGGAACCAGGCACCCCAAAGTCAAGGGTCAAAGGAAGCCTGGGAGAACCATCAGCATGAGGACACCCCAAAAAGCTGAACTTGAGGACCAGAGCACCCCAAAATCCAGGATGAAAGGATGCTTGGGAGGACCACCAGCACAGAGACACCCCAAAAACATGAACCTGGAGCACAGAGCACCCCAGACTCCAGGACCAAAGGAAGCTGGGGAGACCCACCAGCATGGAGACACCTCAAAAAACTGAACCTGGGAGACAGAGCACCCCAAAAGCCAGGACTAAAGGAAGCTGGGGAGAAGCACCAGCATGGAGACACCCCAGAAACCTGAAGCTGAGGACCGGGGCACTCCCAAATCCAGGCTCAAAGGAAGCTTGGGAGACCCACCAGCATGGAGACACCTCAAAAAACTGAGCCTGGGGACCACAGCACCCCAAAATCCAGGACCAAAAGATGCTCAGGAGAACCTCCAGCATGGAGACATCCCAAAAAGATGAGCCTGGGGAACAGAGCACCCCAAAATCCAGGGTCAAAGGAAGCTTGGGAGACCCATCAGCATGGAGACACCCCAAAAATCTGACCCTGGCAACCAGAGCACCCCAAACTTCACGGGGAAAGGCAGCTTGGGAGAACAACCAGCATGGAGGCACCCCAAAAAGATGAAGCTGGGGGACAGAGAACCCCTAACTCCAAGGGGAAAGGAAGCTTGGGAGACCCACCAGCAGAAAGACACCCCAAACCCCTGACCCTGGGGACCAGAGCACCCCAAACTCCAAGACCAACTGAAGCTCAGGAGACCCACCAGCATGGAGACACCCCAAAAAAATGAACCCAGGGGACAGGGCACCTCCAAATCCAAGACCAAAAGAAGCTCAGTAGAACAACCAGCATGGAGACACCCCAAAAAGATGAGCCTGGGGAACAGGGCACCCCAAAATCCAGGGTCAAAGGATGCTTGGGAGACCCAGCAGCATGGAGACACCTCAAAAATCTGAAGGTGATGAGCAAGGTACCCCAAAATCCAGGGTCAAAGGAAGCTGGGGAGAACCACCAGCATGGAGACACCTCAAAAGCTGAAGCCAAAGGACAGGGCACCCCAAAATCCAGGATCAAAGGATGCTTGGGAGATGTATCGGCATGGAGACCCCCAAAAAACCTGACCCTGGGGGACAGAGCACCCCAAAATCCAGGGTCAAAGGATGCTCAGGAGAACCACCACCATGGACACACCCCAAAAATATGACCCTGGGGAACAGAGCACCCCAAAGTCAAGGGTCAAAGAAAGCTTGGGAGTACCACCAGCACAGAGACACCCCAAAAACCTGAACCAGGGGACAAGATACACCCAAATCCAGGACAAAGATGCTCAGGAGAAGCTCCAGCATGGGGACGCCCCAAAAAGAGAAGCCTAGGGAACAGGGCACCCCAAAATCCAGGGGCAAAGGATGCTTGGGAGACCCACCAGCATGGAGACACCTCAAAAATCTGAAGGTGATGAGCAAGGTACCCCAAAATCCAGGGTCAAAGGAAGCTGGGGAGAACCACCAGCATGGAGACACCTCAAAAGCTGAAGCCAAAGGACAGGGCACCCCAAAATCCAGGATCAAAGGATGCTTGGGAGATGCATCGGCATGGAGACCCCCAAAAAACCTGACCCTGGGGGACAGAGCACCCCAAAATCCAGGGTCAAAGGATGCTCAGGAGAACCACCACCATGGACACACCCCAAAAATATGACCCTGGGGAACAGAGCACCCCAAAGTCAAGGGTCAAAGAAAGCTTGGGAGTACCACCAGCACAGAGACACCCCAAAAACCTGACCCAGGGGACAAGATGCACCCAAATCCAGGACAAGGATGCTCAGGAGAAGCTCCAGCATGGAGACACCCCAAAAAGAGGAGCCTAGGGAATAGGGCACCCCAAAATCCAGGGAGAAAGGAAGCTCAGGGGGGACCCACCAGCATGGAGACACCTCAAAAATCTGAAGCTGAGGAACAGGGCACCCCAAAATCCAAGGTCAAAGGAAGCT